ACTGGAAAATTTTCGCACGAACGTCCTTAAGTTCCTCAGTCATGAGTTCGGAAAACTGTTACCTCCAGCCGTAGCCTCCCTTTCTATCTGATTTTTCTCTCGCTGCTTGCGGATTTGGATAAAATTTTCAGCGGAGATCAAAGCAGAATCCAGAATATCAAGAGCGGCTCGATCCACCTCAAAAGACTGCTTGGCATTATCTACATAATTTACAATGAAGTGGGTTCTCTCGCTGGAGCTGCCAGTTGCCCAGGAGGCCTGTTCAAAAGCTTCATCTTTGTCCTCTTTGTCTTCTAGTTTGTCAAGGTGGGTAATAACTGTCACAGGAGCATAACCTGTAAAGTAATGAAAAGATTATCAGTCACACGCGCATAGGCAGTAAAATGGGGCAACGCTTAAATAGTAATAGGGCTGATTGATGACTCAGAATTCGAATGGCGCAAATCTCCCCAACGTAATATGTTCGAAGGACAACCATGCTCGTTGGCCCTTGTCATTGAAGGTCAAAAGCAAAGTCTGCGTCGGGCCAAGTGGCCCACACGTACCGCCGGTTCCGTAGCATTAAAACATGTATTAAGCGACTAGGAGAATTTCTACTTCCCCCTGGAAGGGATGTAAGCCCATCGCAAGGAATGACACCCTAGCATTAAATTCCGGTACCAAAAAATAACACTTGCCTAAAGAGAAGCATTGTGACAATAAATTTTCTTGGTCAAGAACACAGCACAATGACCCCGCAGTAGGACATGAGCCTGGATCGCTTGATCCAGAGTCCAGCGGTGCTCCCCAATCAGTTCGTAATTGTCATCGAAGCTGGGTATATCTTTAGCTATGAACTATCTGGTGAATATTGTTATTACCATCTTGTTTAAACTGCTCTCTGATCTTCTGGAGTTTGTCATACAACAAGCCCTCTGCTAGACGTGGATCGTTTGCCTTTAGGACAAAAATCACGGCGTGCGCGCATTTAGAAAGCGCCGGGGCTCGTTTTACCGGTGTGTCCGACCCCGATATGCTCTTCCCTGTTGCTGTTCCTTTGTCATAATTCCGCAATCACCATAGTATCCAGACATTACTTCTCCTGGTCGAATTCTTTAATGGCAATAACACAAAGTCAGCCTCTATTAGTAATAGTAATTTGACTGATTGGAGTAGAACTTGACCACGAAGCAAAAGAAAAACTCCCTGCGGTTTTGATGCAGCTTTTTTGCCAAATGTTTCTCGGGTGGTTGCAAAACGCTGTGCCGTGTTTAAGCTAATGTTCGCCGAGAAGAAACTTTTCAACCCATCACAAGTTGCTTTAACCAAAATACCAAGATGCGAAGCTTAAGTTTGTTGGTGAACGACCTCCCTAATCTTTAAACTTTGTTCTTTCGCAAAAGTAGAATATTTTCGTCTTCAAAAGTAAGATGTAGCAGGTTCTAAGGACGTGTTGTTGAGTCCTTCTTTGAGCTTTGCTTCGTGGTACTGGAAATTTAATTTTTTTTTTTTAAGCAGGGATTTTGTAATGCCGTCGTGATCTGCTGCGGTATATGTTTTTGTTCTCATGGCTTTTGAGTATATTTCTCTTCTTGCACACTTCGAGATAACTAGTTTAGTATTTTTTTGCTGAGCTTTGTACTTTGCTTTGTTATGAAGTCTTTGTATTAAAATGTAGGTAAAGAGTTTCAATCTTCGTTTGATTTTTGTCCGCCATTTTTTGTTTGGCCCAGCTCAATTTTGTAAGAGCTGTCAATCATTTCCAATTTCACCCTTTTGCATTGGTGAAATTACACTGATTTGGGATAAATTGACATGCACTTAGCCAATCAGAATGCAGAAATTGCTGTTTGTATATTATTAGCTCTAAAACAACGCAGAACGGCTAAATATCCCTTCTAAGGAGACATTTTTATGCCAATATCGAAAAGCAATCTTGCACATACGCAACCCGTGACACTGTCCTTTGCCCCTCCCCTTTTGGGTAGCACAATAATCGATCTTGAAAGATCAAAACAACACTGAACTGGGGGTAGGGAGGAACGCTACATTAATGGAGTTTTATTCAGGCCGCATCTCAGTCAGACCTTTCTCTCTAACGAGATGTTGGACGTACCGCTATCGTATTTTGAGCTAACGTAAACCTGAACGTGAACGAAAGCAACCCGCTACCTTCCAGACATGAGTTTCAGGCACTCTTCCAGCGCTCTCTCGTCCCATTCAAAGAATGCTCTGGTGTCCAGCATCCGAATATTTTTCTGCAGGTAGTATGGTTCGAGAAGGATGGTGTCTTCTTTTCCTTTTCCGTCACCAAAAGCACTCTGAGGCTGTCCAATGGCTCGCTGCAACGTGCCTTGTAAAGTCAGTCAAAAACGAGACCCTCAGTTAGGATACTAATGAAAATCTACCCTAATGGTCTGTGTATTAATAACTATCAGGTTGGCCAATCACTTAAACTAACGAGAGCACGAGAAAATATGATTCACGTAACAGGCAATTTAAGACAAGTTCTTACCTATAAAGCTGGTTTTCCCCGTGCCTGGTCTTCCTATTAAAACAACGCTGAGCACATCGATGTCGTCCACCACCAAATCTCGGAAAGATTCTTTCTTAATTCTTGGGTTGGTCTGTAAGTCGTAATTCATCAGCGCGACTTTAAGCTTACAAAATCGTTCTTCTTCCTTTTGATTCCTTTCTTGGTCCTCCCCATCACGTCTTTGGTGAGCCAGTTGTCTTCTCTGTGCGTCGCCTTCAATTTTCGTGCATTCTTGCGCATCAAGCAACGCCTGTCGACGATCTCTCTCCATCTCGTCACGCAATTCTCTCATTCCCCTTTCATTCTCTTCTCGGGCTCTCTGCCGTCCTTGAGCGCGTGCCGTAGGATCTGTTCTATCCACTCTTTCATAGTTCTTTAATTGAAAGGAAACAAACAGGTGATCGATTGAATTACAAGGGGATCGTTTTTGCGTCTAGCTTAGCTGTTGGCTAGATTTGTTGCGATGTCGACTAGCCACTGTATTACGCCGGTCGCTTGCGGTATGGCATGAACATAACTCTGTCAAGACGCGGTCAGATGTTTTACCTCCTTAATGAGGCAAAAAGCTGATATCTGAATATTGTAGCTAGAACTCTCTCACCCCCTCCCCCGGAGCCGATTTACCACCCCTCCCCCTATTATTACCTATAATTGGAATTGCTTAAAGAATTAATAATCTACGTTTCAGAGTCATCATGACGCCATTATCAAGAGAAATTAAATATAGGAAAGCGAATGTTTAAGTAGGCTAGAACGTGAAGATTACCATACTACTTAGATAGCTAAACAAACACGTAAGCGCAAACTGTGTCAATCATGTTGCTGTTCTGGTTTGATTTTGTGTATGAAAAACATCTCATAAATGAGGCAATCAAATTTGCTGGTACATTTCCAAGTACGTGTAACTGTTCTAAAAACGATGTAGTGTCCGACCATTACGTTGGAACTGGTAGTAATTGTAACTGGAGGACGACTTTCTTTTGTGTCCGTCCGCACGCTCATTTAGGTGCCAATGCATATACCCCACATATCCTGCATCAACTAGGTTACATTTAAATTTGTAAACTACACATTGTTGTGTAACAATGGAGGGCTTAGCTTCTTGCACCTTAAGATCTTCATTGAACTTCCGATTTACAAACACAGGTTGGATGGCGGTTCCAACTTTTAAACTTAGTTTGCTAAGTCACGTTTCACAAAAAAGTTCGTCACAGAAAATTCGATCACGTGACCCTAGTCCTGAAAGAGTTACGCTGCCTGCTTGACGCTGTGCTTGCTTTTAAATACATGACCGGACAAGCTCCCGCTTACTTTTCGTCGCTCTTTTTAAAGCGAAGGGAGACAAGTGGCCGTGAGACTCGAAAATCACAACTTTTAAACATTCCTCTTTTCAAGACCTCTACAGGACTAAGGACTTTTTACCATCGAACAGTGTCATTATGGAATAGTTTAGAAAGAAATCTTAAGCTAAGCGAATCTCTGAATATTTTTAAACGAAGATTACGAGGTACACTCGTATGTGAATTTTTATTTTCATAATGCAATATTGTCACATAATTCTACATTATCTCATATCATTTTTAAAATTCCTTGGTACGTTGATTTAGTTCTTTTTAATTTTAATGTAGCTTATTTAGTAGTATTAGTACCATGGGGAGTGCTTATAAAATCTGTATTTCTATATTCTGTATTTGCAGAACTCTGATCTTTAAGGTAGGATGACTCTAACAGTGTTCGCTTTCCCTTGTGACGATGGATAGGGCTGTGGGTCAGACACCAAAAATTGTACCAGCAAATTTGATTCTCTCATTCAACGTATCGGAGATTCATTACGCTTGTATGAAAGTTATAGTCACATTCCAAACATAAGAGTTTCTTCCTGGTATGAAAAACATAGGAGTATACACGCCGGCCTTTACATTAATGATGGCAGAAAACCAGATTGTCGGAGTCGCAAGCAGAAGCGACCAGAAGCTGAAGAATAAACCAATCACAAGGCTCGATTCAGGGCGACGTGATTGGCAGGTTCTACCGCTTCTGATTCCGACTCCAACAATCTAGTTTTCACTGGATCACAAGCGACAGCTTCAAAATAACTTTTTGCCTTTGCTATCGGCCACCGAACTGCTCCTTGTTTATCGATTTTTTTTGAACATTTGCTTGCGAATTTGCATGGAGACGCCGCTCATCGAATTTGCATTATCGCCGACTTCAATATGCCCAACATCAGGTGGGANGTTTATCGATTTTTTTTGAACATTTTGCTTAGAATTTGCATGGAGACGTCGCTCATCGAATTTGCATTATCGGCGACTTCAATATGCCCAACATCAACTGGGAATATATTATTGACACAAGCAACTCTGTTGATGGAATTAAGCTTTGCGACCTGATTAACTCTCATTTTTTCACACAAGTTGTTCGGGAGCCGACAAGAATTACACAAACTTGTCAGACTACATTGGATCTGGTTTTTTATAATTATCCTGATGAAATAACCGATGTTAGCGTTCACGAGGACTTCAGCTCTGATCATTTTGTGGTTAACTTTTCCTTGTTTACCAAGGTTACCCGCTTAAAGAAATCGCGTCGGACCGTTTACAACCTAAAGAAAGCTGACCTGTCTGGCTTGAAGTAAGCGCTGCGGTACCTCCCGTAAGACACTGTATTTGTTGACAACAACATTGATACCAGTGCTGCTTGCTGGTAGACTTGTTGCTATCATGTGTGGATGAATTTGTTCCTAAGGTGTTTATTAGGGATGCCAACAGACCCCCGTGGATCGACAGCGACGTATTACAGTTTATCAGAAAGAAGAACAGAATCCGGCGTAAAGCTAAGTAAAAAAACTCTGTGTTCGTATGGTCCAGATTCCGCGGGCTAAGACAGCTTGCTAAGAGAATGGTTAAATTTAAGAAGCGTAATCACTTATGCAATCTTGGTGCTGTCCTAAATGAGAATCCTCGTAAATTCTGGTCATATTACAAAGCAATTGCGAAAAGTAGTAAAATTCCAGGGGTTATTAAGCATGAATTAATGCAGGCGACCAGACCCGTTGATCAAGCTAATTTATTTAATACTTTTTTTCATTCAGGTTTTGCTCCAACCGATCATGGCAGCACTTTTAATTGCCTACAACGACTTAACTTTAGTGTTCAACACGAATTGTGTGAGTTAAAACTAAGCCCTTACAGTATTCTTAATCAACTTAAGTCACTTGATATCAACAAAGCGTCACTGGGCCTCCCCACCAAGTTGTTATGAGAGTGCGCTAAGGAAATNATTGCTTGTTCTTCAAATATCTCCATGTAGAGATTAGCAATAACCGCGGATACAGGGCTCCCCATGGTTGCGCCGTCTCGTTGTTCGTAAATCGATCCGATGTACTGGAAGTAGGTAGATCTTAATACGAAATCCAAGAGGTCCGCGATTTGAACTGGTGTAAATGTCGTGCGGTCAGCCAGGCCTGCGTCGTTCTCCATTTTTTGTAGCGCGGCTTGTACGGCGCCCTCGATCGGTACGTTGGTATACAGTGACTCTACGTCGAAAGACACCATTAAACGTCTCGTGACCAAGCAATCAGTAATCGCTGGAGAGAAGAAACATCTGTCATCTTTATTTTTTTCTAACGGATATCCCTCCTCTTTTGTACAGAAGATCACAAAGGCCCGAACAGCTTGTTAAGAGAATGGTTAAATTTAAGAAGCGTAATCACTTGTGCAATCTTGGTGCTGTCCTAAAGGACAATCTTCATAAATTCTGGTCATATTACAAAGCAATTACGAAAAGTAGTAAAATTCCAGGGGTTATTAAGCATGAATCAATGCAGGCGACCAGACCCGTTGATCAAGCTAATTTATTTAATACTTTTTTTCATTCAGTTTTTGCTCCACCCGATCATGACACCACTTCTAATTGCCTACAACGACTTAACGTTAGTGTTCAACGCGAATTGTGTGAGTTAAAACTAAGCCCTTACAGTATTCTTAATCAACTTAAGTCACTTGATATCAACAAAGCGTCACTGGGCCTCCCCACCAAGTTGTTATGAGAGTGCGCTAAGGAAATTGCACCCCTTTATGCAGATTATTCAATATGTCTTTGGAGCTGGGGGCTTTTCCTGAAAAATGGAAAGACGCTAATCTTGTCCCTGTTCATAAAAGTGATTCCAAGTCTCTGGTGTCTATATATCGGGACATTAAATTCTTGATGTGCTTTCTAAATTACTGGAGAGGCAAGTTTATATTAAGATCTTTGGTATTATATCCCCTCATATTACGCAATAGCAGCATGGCTTTTTGCCAGGCAGATCAACTGTGTCTCAATTAGCCCAAGTAGTTCATCAGTTCGCTAAAGCTCTTGAAATGAGACAACAAGTCGATGTCATTTATCTTGATTTTTCCAAGGCCTTCGATCGAGTACCCCACGTACGAAAAACGTTTGTTTAAGCTCGAGTGCCTTGGAGTCAAGGGTCCTCTGTTAGCTTGGTTAAGATCTTACTTATCTGGCAGAAGACACAGGGTTGTAATTGATAATGAGGCATCTGATTTTCTCCCAGTCACATCTGGAGTCCGCCAGGGATCAATTTTGGGACCCCTGCTCTTCTTGGTTTACATAAATGACATGCCTGATGTAATTTCAGGGGATACATCATTGCACCTTTTTGCCGATGATTCGAAGTGTTTTCGCCTAATTCTCGGCCAAGATGATCGCGATAAATTACAGGAAGACCTGAATAAGTTATTGGAGTGGTCACGCATTTGGGGAATGGAGTTCAATGTCAAAACGTGTAAGGTTCTAAGAGTAGCACGAACTAAATGTACTTACTAGAGAGATTATTTTCTTGGAGGAACCAAGTTGGAGCGTGTTGCTGTTGAAAAAGATCTGGGTATTTGGATCAGCTACGATTTAAGCTGGAATCATCACGTTGATATTGTCACGTCCAGAGCTCAAAAGATGCTTAATTTGCTTCATAGGACATGTAAGGATATGACTGATATTAGAATTGAAAAGTTACTTTATAATACTTGGGTGCGGTCACGTCTAGAATATGCCAGTGTGGTATGGTCGCCTTATACCAATAGAAATATTACCAGCTTAGAACAAATGCAGCGCAGAGCCACGAGATTCATTCTCCGCAAGGAGTATTCTGAGCACGAACGCCTGAGTAAATTAAATTTATTATCTTTACAATATCGTAGGGAAATTCATGATATCGTATTCTTTTTTAAATGTTTTAAGAATATGTATAATTTAGATATTTTGGACTTTGCATCGTTTCGAACTTGCAACAAGCCTTTGAGAAAGATTGATTATCAAACACTCAATGTTCCGTTTAGTCGCACAGAATCTTTTATGAACTCATATTTTATACGGGTTTGTCGCTCATGCAATGAACTACCTCTTAACATCAGGGAGTCTAACACCTTGTCAGTCTTCCGCAAGGAATTGTTTGCTTATTTTTACGATAAGTTCAGTGC